CCCCCCCCCCCCCCCAATGCTTGAACCCCGATCCCAGTGGCTGCACTGGTCAGAGCTATGTCAGCCGCATTGGCAGAGGCCCAAGACTCCCTCTGCTGGCACCAGGCCTCCAGAAGCAGAAGAGGTGCCACTTTGGGAGTGCGCAGCCTGCCTCTCCCACTGAGCACTAACTGTGTTGTCAGAGCAGGGGCTTCTGGGCCCCTGCTCACGCTGATCAGCATCATGGTCACGTGAGGATGGCCAACCTGCCCCACCCCGGCCCAAAAGTGCCTGCCTCCCACATGCATGCAGGAGCTGAGTGCTGCAAGTGAGCAGGCTCATGTATGGACGTACAAGTGTGCAAATGGTAGTTTTATGAAGCACTGGTGTGAGTGCTCCCCCTCCCCAGCCCCTTTTGGGATCCTGCAGCCATGCTTGGCATGCAGAAGCAGTGCTAGAAACCCAACCCAAGGCAGGGTTTATGGCAGAAGAAAGGACTCCTCCATGAGAGGTGATGGTGTCTGTGCCCAAGCTGCAGGGACCGGGGCTGGCAGCTGGCCGTCATGGCCACAGCCCATGAGGGCACCTACGGCCCGGCTCAGCCCCAGCTCTCTCTGTTTGCAGTACGTTAGTGAGCAGCTCCAGGCCCACAAGCAGCTGGTCGTCTCCACCTGCTCCGTGGCAGACATCCAGGCAGCCTTCAACACCACCGTAGCCCGCATCCAGCGATAGTGAGTACAGCTTGGGCCCAGCCTGGCGGCTTCTTGTGCTTGCAGGGACAGGCTGGGAACAGGGGGCGTGCCTGGCTGGGACCCTGGGGGCAGTGGGCACAGCAGCGAGAGAAGGGGAAGGCAGGAGACAGCTGGCCTGAGTGTGGCCACCATGGTGCTCAGCAAGCTGGAAATTGGCAGCAAGAGTGCTGCTGGGCTTTACAGGGCACAGCCTCTGCACTGCTACTGCTGCGTGCCACGCTAGGGCGTCCACTGGGCCACAGCGAGTCCCTCAGGGTCTCTCTCGCTCTCTCTCCTCCTCCCTCTTTTGCTTTTTCTCCCTCTCTCTCCTTTTGCAGCTGTAACTGTAACTCCCACATGCCTCCCCCAGTGAAGGTAGTCGTGGCAGGGGACCAGAGCTACCTGAGCGTCGTCCTCCGCTTCTTTGTGGAGCAGCTGGCCAGCAAGACGCCTGACTGGCTCAACTATCTCCGCTTCCTCCTTGTGCCACTGGGTGAGCGCCACCACAGGCCTGGCCCCAGGTTGTCCTCTCCCCGCTGCCCTGTGCTCCGCAGGCTCGAGCCAACGTGTCTCTTCTCACCCACAGGCTCTCATCCTCTTGCCAAGTATCTGGCCTCAGTAGATAACAAGTACAGCACCCTGTTCCTGGACACAGCCTGGCGGGAGCTGTTCAGCCGGGCTGAGCCACCCACCGCAGGTGAGGAGTGGGGCAGGACAAAGCCAGCAGCGCCCTCAGGGAAGTCTGACTGCCAGCTGGCTCCTCCCTGCTCTCTGTGCCCGCAGACACAGTGGACATTGCAGGCCGCGTTGCCCAGTTCATCGCTGGAGCTAGCCTCTCGCACCAGCTCCCCATCTCCGAGGCCATGCTGACATACAAGCAGAAGAGGTAAGCGTGGCCCTGAGGCACCTTTCCCACCTCACACGGTCAGCAGTGGGGCGGACAGGCTGAGCAAGGCCCTGCACTGCGCTCTGCCCGCAAGCGGCATGGTGCGGGGGGGGGG